AATTTTACAGATTAAAGTGTAAAATTTACACTTTAAAGTGTAAAATTTACACTTTAAAGTGTAAAATTTACAGATTAAAGTGTAAAATTTACAGATTAAAGTGTAAAATTTACAGATTAAAGTGTAGAAATTAAAAAAAAGTAAAGTTTGCAAATGGCACTAATACGCTTCCGTAATTCCACAACCATGCGGTTTAAATATCTCCGCCTATTTGTGGATACCTTAGATTCGAAAGTGATCCCGTTCAAGTTTCCGGAATTTAAGGCTTTTACATGTTCTGTTCAATTACATTTTCTTTAATTATAGAAATATTTATGACAAAAATTTCTTGAAATAAATATCAAAAGCATATGCTTGCACATTAATTATAGATTAATTTAGCAATATATTGTAATGTTAAGCATAAAATGGTCAGCCTTAAAAGTTCCAAATGACTTCTTAAGTGCACTCATTCTTTGTGCTTTTCTTATGAACGCCGAGAATATATTTACAGAATTTAAGGTGTATTCTTACACAGGGTAGATTCTTAAAGCAGTCTTCAACTCCTAAGTTTTGGCAGTTTAGGAATCTTTTAGTATTTATATTACTTGCACCCCACACCTCTGCATTATACAAAAGAATTGGTTTAATGGAAGAGTCAAATACATGTATACTGGTTTTAATCCCAGGGTTCAAATCAATAAAATCCTTTCTTAAGTTATAATATGCTTTTAATGCTTTTTTATAAAGCATGAAAGCTTCCAGATACACTTAGGTGGACTCCAAGATATTTGTAGCTAGGCACGCATTCCATCATATTATTTTGAAACATTAGTTTTTGTGTAATAGCTAATTCTTAAGAAGACTTTTAATGAATTTTCCTATATATTTCTATGTAAAACTTTGATCGGCCATTGTGGCCCCGCCCTACCCCCGGGGGTCATGATTTGAACAAACCTGAATCTACACTACCCGAGGATGCTTCCCTATAAGTTTCATCTTTCCTGGCACAGTGGTTCTTGAGAAGATTTTTAAACAATTTTCCTATATTTCTATGTAAAACTTTGATCGGTCATTGTGGCCCCACCCTACCTTGGGGGTCATGATTTGAACAAACTTGAATCTACACACCTGAGGATGCTTCCCTATAAGTTTCATCTTTCCTGGCAGTGGATCTTGAGGAGAAGAATTTTAAAACATACCATCAAATTTTCACTATTTCTGAATTATCTCCCCTTGAATAAGGGCGTGGCCCTTCATTTGAACAAATTTGAATCACCTATGAATACTTTGTGCCAAGTTTGGTTGAAATTGGCCCCGTGGTTCTTGAGAAGTCGAAAATGTGAAAAGTTAACAACGATGACAGACAACAGACAAAATTTTATCAGAAAAGCTCACTTGAGCTTCGGCTCAGGTGAGCTAGTAAGTGCTACATTTTTTTTTTTTTTGTAAAAAATAAACAAAAAATGAAATAAGCACTCAAAAGAACTATATGCGGTATTAACCAACATTTGCCCCCCAAAATCAAACTTTGATGGAGTAATATTTAATTAAGTCCTTAAACAGGGGAGTACATGCTGACTTCAAAGCACTGAATAATTTCATAAGTAATGACATCATATGTACGTAATGACATCACAAATATGACGTAAATTTCAGTTTTTTATGAATTTTGCAGAAAAATGTACATATTTCGTCGATATTTTAAATAAAAGTCACCGAGCGCATGTGTGTTCAGGATAAATATTTTGATATAATGTGTAGAATGATAATATCAATGAAATATGTCAATATTGTTCCTGAACACACATGCGCTCTATAAATTTTACAGCTTAAATTGTTGAAATTTTGTCCATTTTGTCCTCTTTCTGAAAAAGGATATAAAATCGGACTAGTTTGTGACGTCATAAAAACAGAAATTGTGAATACACTGCTCTGGAACTATAATATTTTCTGTTAACTTATATTTCTCGTACAATTTATTGAATTCAGCACATTTCAGGAAGTTTTCAAAATTTGACTTTTGTGGGGGCAAACATATGCAATATACCGCATATAGTTCTTTGTATCACCGTGCACAATTTTAAGGGTGCATATTTCAGCGACTTTTTAAAAATCATTTTACACAATACTAGTATTGACTGTACTTCGACCTTTTATGAAAATAAAATACACCATCCTGAAATTGGACTAGGAGCAGATTCCATTTATTCATCACCATTCTATTTTAAGTAAATCTTGAAGGGGGTCTCATATTGTCAAAATTTCAGAGTATCTGCAAACAGCCCTACAATATAATAATCTCAGATTCCACTTTTAATTTCAATTTCACATAATTCCTGTAAAACTTCGAAATACAAGACCTTTTATGTTTTTACATTTTTATTGTAACAAAAAAAAAAAGTACAAAACTGTACAGAATGGCACAAATTGGGACCAATAACATATACTAGTATGTGATGAACATTTTTAAACCATTAAACTTTCATGATTTAAACCGTTATTATGCAAAAATTGTATAATGAAATAAGTAGCTAGAAATGAAAAAAAGTCAACATTATCATGATTATCGTCCACAAACGTTGAACTGTCCATCACACGCATTCACTTTTTGTCAGCTCTGGGGGCCATAACCGCCAAATGGCCCTTGGGATCTCGGACACACTTGATATGCTTGTAGTCTACGCCCTCTGGTACGGTGAACTCACGTCTGAATGAACGGGACACTTTCATTCCGTCCTCTTCACGCTGATGGTCGGCAGCCACGGAGACGACGTTCCCCCGCCGTTTGACGGTGATGTGGTCAGGCTCAAACACGGACAGGTCTACTTTGGTCTCGAATGGCTTCTTATTGCTCTCGACCAACTGCATATCTTTTTCCTTGCCGTCTGTAATGGCTGGAACACTCTCAATTTCGACTTCCATTTCTTCCTCGTCGTCATTAGCTAGTATTGGCGCCTCGACGCAGTAAGTGTTGTCATTCATCATTTTGCAGTGAACTTTGCTCTGGTCGACCCCTTCTGGAATTTTAATGCATCTTTTTGTCTCACGTACCTCTCCGTTTTGGTCATCCCCACGGACGTGTCGTGCATGGACCCTCACGAACCCGTCCTCGACGTTTACTTTCACTTCCTCGGGACTGAAATTGTCCAAGTGGAAAGTTTGTCTCCAAGTTGACGGCACATTTCTCCTGCGGGTTGCTACCTGGCTTTGGGGTGGCATCAAAGCTAATTCATCGTTAAGCATGCTAGACAGCAAGCTACGGATAGGCGTAGCAGATGCATAGTATGGCGTAAATGGGCTGTAGTCGTAGTACACAGGTAACAGCGACATTGTTCTTCGTCTGAATTTCCTCGAACTCTTCACCTTCCTCGAGCTGAACTAGAATGCTCAATTTGCACGCCGACATGCTTATATATGGGAGTCGAGTACTTCCAGAAAAATCTGGCGAAGTCCAGTGGCTCACATGAATATTCAAAGTGGAGAATATTCGATAACTTTCTAGAATCAAGCTGATTGGTTGAAACATTTTTCGAGAATAAAGAAATATGAGTTAACCTTAAATCTTTTAATAATATAAATATATCATAATAAGAAAAACAAATAGCCCCATAGATATTTTTTTCACGACATTCTTTATCTATTTCATCCACCTGACAACCAATAAACATTCTTTGCGGGATTCAATTGTTTATCATATGTACTTCCGGTGTTAAAGCACTTGTTTCGATTTGTTTGTTTGGTTTGAGTCTGGAGAAGAACTGAAGTTGGTGTATTTGTTCCACCGGATTTTTTTTTTAGATTAGAAAGTATTTCCACGATCAATTGTAAGTGTTATGTTAAAAATTAGATCATGAAGAGATTTTAACATTGAAAAAAAATCTTACATTTGTTACCAGCATACGGCTGCATGAGCACTATATACAGTAGATCTACTGCCTGTATGAATCACCATAACAATGTATTATCAGATTAACTCAGTGTTTGAACTGATATTGTTATTGGTGTAAATATTCTTTTTGATGGTCAAAGAATTTTTTCAAAATATTTTTTTTTCAGAGTTATAGGATTTAGAAGTGACAGAAGATGGTGAAGTTACATATCAAGAAAGGGGATGAGAGCCAGTTTTTGTATGATACAACAGTAGAGCAGCCCATTGATGACCTGTTGAAAGATGTGTGTGCCATTCACAATGGACGACTCAAAGTACAGAGAATTTGTGCAGGTAATTTTTATTGTTAGCATATAACAGGAATAAAAGAAAATGCCAGGGAAGAACAATTTACATGTATATTTGTTACATTTAGTGATGGTACGATGATCGATTTTAATTGAAAATTTGTAGTAGTGTAATATACAAGGCATCCTACTAGCTTGGGCTAGTGGGTTAACCCTTTAGCTCAATTGGTAGAGCACTGGGCTGGCAAGCCAGAAGTCTCGGGCTCAATCCCCAGCAGAGGCACAAAATTGTCTCTGTTACAAATTGATTGTTTTCCCTCTTTTTGATTCTAGTTATCGATTGAAATAACCAAAATTTCATAATCGAAAGTGGCTGTCAGAGCTGGAAATAAAAAATTAATTCAGTTTGACTAAAGCTTTGTTGTTGAATAAAAATTCATGTTGCACTCTTCAGTATATAGAGCAGAACACATATAAGATAAAGGGGGGAAGGAACCCAAGAGGAAAAACAAAACGATTTGTCTGAGAGAGATTTTTTTCATGACAGAACTATGTTGCAAATAATCACTTCTGTAGAAATGGAAGAGCTGGCTAACCATGGAATTACACTCCCACCAAACATGCAGGGTCTGACAGAAGAACAGGTGGAAGAATTAAAACTGAAAGATGAGTGGGCGGAGAAGTGTGTTCCTCAAGGTGGGATCAGGGAAAACAAAGATCCCATCGGAAGACGTAATGGTCAAGGTGAGTTGTATGTTTGTGTGTTAGTGGTGGAAAACATCTAAAGGGATCATCAGAGATCCAAGGCTTACTGTGGAATCATTATTGTTTTGGGGGGGAGGGGACTAATGTTCATGTTTTTGTGGGTCACCCTCATCCATGAATTTACATTTCCACAAATGTTTATTTTTCAAACTTACTGATCCATTGAATCCACCATATAAACAAGTAACCCACATAAATACATGTACGTGTCCACAAACAAGTAAAATTTAGTGCTTGCCTACCAACCAACCCCCCCCCCCCCCCCTTCATGAATTAAAATAATTCCACAGCAATTATTTGAAATTTATATGCTTTTTTATAGACATATTCCTGTATTAACCCTTTGTGTGCGGGAACCCAATATATTGGGTCTGACGTCACAAACGCTTGCGTGCGGGAACCCAATATGTTGGGTCTGAGTCTGAAATTAGCGCTTCGTCACATAAAACGTCGTATAAAACGTATAAATGAGCTGTGAATTATTCAGAATCTATCAAAATGTATTATACAACTACAACACATTGAAAAATAGGTAATTAAGATGTGAAAATATGCTAATTGTTTGTGAAATTGTGATTTAAAGTGAAGGTGTTTGGCGTTTGTTACGATGAAAGTCAGTCCGCTATTTTTGGAAACAGGGAAAAAACGCGCATGTAATAAATATCTACTAACATGCTCATATAAAAAGGAAAATAAAGAAATAAATCCAAAAAATAGTTAAATATCAATAATTCTAATAAATTTGTGTTAGTACACTTAAAATTACTTGGAAATTTTCGATATTTTAGCAGAAAAACTCTGGTTAACTTGACTTGACCTTAACCTTGCGAAGTTCTTCCTGTTAAAACGAAAGTAGGATGCACATGCTACTGAACTTCAGTCTGAAGCATATCAAGAGCTTATATGGTCGGCAAAGTTTTATATTTTGGACATACGGTAGTTATTATTTGTTTATTTGGTGTTTTGTAAGTAGACATACATTACATCGTCTAAATGAAAACAATAATGCGCGAGATTGAATCTGGCAAGTCACAGACGTTTTTCTGTGCACGTTGTTTACATACGTTAATCAAGCTTTGCTTTGAAATAAAGGTTAACAAAAAATAATTTGAAGCATCTTGTTAATTAAAAGCATTTGTTTTTTTTTTAACAATAAATAAACAAATAAATAAGTAAACAATTTTTTTTTTAATCTAAAGACCCATTTCAAAAATGTTGAAAGATAAAAAAAGTTCCATCTAATAAAAGTAATAAATGTGGAGGACCTTGAACATTGTAGAAAATTTTCCAATGAGTTATTACATTAATAAGTGAGTGAAAAAGAGATATATAGAGAATATATATCCATCAACATATTTTTGTGATCAAGCAAAATTAATTCATGATACACGTATTCGAAATGTACACAATATGAATTTTATAATTGACAATCATTGAGTCAATTAAGTGGCCCTAATTACACCTAAAAATTCTGGTTTAAAGCTGCTTGATGTTCCATCTATTTGGGAAAACTTTCAAATATTTTTTTTATAACAGTATATGATAAATTGTAAAATTTTTATCACAATTAAAAATTAAAAATAAACTTGATTTTTTCTATATAGTGTCTTCAAATGTAAGCTAGTTATCAGAAAAGATGCATTGATGCATTTGATCATGTGCATATACATGAAAATGGAAAAAAGTGATGAAAAAATTTTGAAGTGCTGATTTTCCCTGAAATTACTGTCATTTGTGTAAACTGTGGTATTTGTTTTATTTCAGTAAGTAATAAAATACCATTTTTATTTCCTTGATGAGGATTATATAGACTCTAAATAATTTCAAAACGAAAATATGTTCCGGGATGTTTGGTATCTTAGAGTTAGATTTCTTCAAGGCCTTTACATACTCTAGTTTGCATGGAACCTAATTAGTAAGTGAAAATAATTGGTACTACATGTATCAGAATTTTTTAAAACCAAGTTTAAGAACATGTATCAGGGAGAAATTTTCTTTTTCTTTAAAATAGACTTTTGCCAGGATAAAGCATGTGGATTAAATTGCACATTTCTTCCACTTCTTATTTTTATTTTATTAAAAACCAAAAAACAGTGACACTGCCCCAACCTATACATGCACACACAAAATTATAAAATTCACTGGTTAAAGAAAAGGTATCTCTACAGTTTAAAATTTAGATGAATTGTCATTTTTGTTGGCATAAGAAGGAGATCATGCAGAGTCTTTAGAATGAGTAATTTGTAAATTGTATGGACTTGTATGTACATCTGTTAAATAAATTACAATAAAGACTGGGTAATACAGCAAAACTTGTTTAGTACGAACACGAATATTGCGAATTTAAGGATATAGCGAAGTCAATTTGGACACCAAGCTAAATAAATTTAATTGATTTCTTATACAGTTTTAACTAATTACAGATATAGTGAAGTAATTTCATAGGTCCCAGTGACTTCGTTATAACTGAGTTTTACTGTAGGAATTGTACTTCTCAAACTCAAAAGTACACACTGTACAAGTTTTCACCTATTAATATGTAATATGACCTCTAGTTTAAAAACTTATAAGGCCCAAGAAGCTTCTACATTCCATCCCTTCTAGATATGTAACAGTAAATGAATACAGAAAAAAGGCTAAGATTTGCTGTGAGAATTTTTTTTTAATGATGGTCAAAATTACATTTTGGTCTCCAAAGATATGTTTATTTTTAAATATGAAAATATGAATAGTTACTAAGAATACAAAGAAATCCCATAGTGGAAATAAAATATAAATTTCATTACTGTATACAGGGTTATTTTCACCCCGTGTTATTTTCGCCCTTTTGAAATTGTGAACAATTTTGCCCTGTTTTAAATTCACCCAGTCATAGTTCTGTTTAGGAAATTATGAGGTGTAATTTGAATTCGCCCAATCAAGGAGAGGGTGAAAGGGGCAAAAATAAAACAGGGGCGAAAATTTCCCTCTATACAGTATTAGGAATAATATTTTTTGTTGAAGTAAAAATTCAGGCACATTTAAAACTTGTGTAATAGGAAAGGAGAAAATGTATGGTAACTATGGTTCGACCAGGAATTGAACTCAGGAACCCTGCAGCAGGCTGCTTCACTAGTCAGGTGCTCTACCGAATGAGCTACCCAGGTTGATACCCATAGCACAACCATTACATATCCCTCCTTAAAGTTATCTTTATCCTTGCAGACACAACCCAAATTCTTATTAGCCCCTGAGAGGACTTTCACTTGCAAATCCAGAGGGGGCAATAGCATCAAATATGTAACAAGGAAGGAGAAAATGCACGGCTGGACCATGAATCTAAGAAGGGGCCCCTGCATCACCGGTCAGATGTTCTACTGACTGAGCTTACTTGGCCTATATCCATGACCCATACCACTAGACTTGCATAAACTTAAAAGTATTTCATAATATATTGATTGATATTATGGTACATATCTGTCAACCATCATTAACTAAATTCAATTGAAAAAAATCAAAACTGTTATTCACCGGTGACCACATTGGATGAAGTCATTTTTGAAAACATTATAAATGACTGTTAAAGGTGCTTAAATTTCTAAAATTTAAAGTACTAGTTTTCCTGCTGCAATTATTGTTGCCACCCAGGAATAAAACTTCTAAAATAAATGCCACATTTCTTACAGAGAGAGAAGTACTGTGGGAGGAAAGTTGATGAATATGTAAACTTTACAAATAACACGGAGAAATGCATTTTCTTCAATAAAAGCAAAGTAAAAAAAAAAGATTTGAGAATTACTAGAGTATATTTAGGGCTGTTAGATACCAGTCATTAGAAAATAAGACCTCTATAACTTAGTGTAAATGTTATTTTATTTTTTTTTTTAAATTTATTTAACATATTGACTGCTTTAATTTGAAAATGAATACTAGTTACAGCAATTAGTTCATTGTTGTGCCAATTTGCTCCAAGATTTCCAACCTCGAAAACTGCATATTCTTTGAGGATCATACTTTCTTATATGATTGCCGATATTTCTTAAAATAATCACTGGTTTTATATTTACAGGCTAATTGAATCTTCAATTTATACTCTTTTTAGTTAAAATATGAAAAAAAATCCATTAACTTGAATCAGAATTCACTTTAACCTACATGAATTTATCCCTTACTCAGATAAGTATACAATATGACTTTTCACAACATAACGGTATATATAACATTGACTTTATAATTGAGTTATTGTTTAAATTAATTTTTTTTTTGCATAATATTAAACTAAAATTGAATTTTTAAAGCAATTGATTGATTTTTTTCATCAAAGTGCAATATTTTCTCTGAAAAATATAGTTAAAATGCTAAAAAGTCATTTTAAAATAATTTTTTTAAAATTTTGGTTTCCATGGCAACATAAAATATAAGATTAAAAAAAAAAAATAGTTTAGATTAAAAAACACAACATTTGCTTTATATTTGCCAAATTTCAAGCAAATTGGTTGTCAACAATTTTAGATATTTGCATTTTAGTACACCATTGTGATAATTTTGTTGATATTACAAAACAACTCAGTCCTGAGGTTACAGCGCACGTAAAACAAGTCAGCACACAAAGGGTTAATATTAAATTAGATATAATTTTAAAATATATTTTATTGCATTTGTAGCTCCAAATGAGAAAATGGCAGAGATGATGAAGAAAACAGCAAAAGAAGCTAAAGATATGGTGTCAAAGGTGGGTGTAAAACATTTAACAGATCTAGTTCTTGGATTTATACAATGTATTATGAATTTAAGTTGATAACCTAGGGTCATCCCAGACATAATGTTGTCATGCATTATGTTTGGTAAATTTTCCTTTGGTGTATTGCAAATTCAAGTTTGCATGTGCCGAAATTAAATAACATATGAATTTTCTTTTGTACTTTAATTTATTGTGAGTCAAAATGCAAGCCCAGATTTCTACAGGTCTAAGAATTGAAATAGCAGGGGAAATCAAAAAAATAAAAGGGGGTTTGGAGGTCCTCATTATAGGTCCTTAGGGACAACTGTGCAAGCTATTTCTTACTTTAGAACATTAATGAAAAGTCACTTGTTATGAATTTTATTTTATAGTCTGCTATAAAGTCTTTTAAAGGTCTTCTTTTTAATAACTAAAAAATTATTAATTGATTAGTGTGTATATTTTTACTTGGAATTTTTCCTTTGTAGAAAAAAGTAGAAGCCAATGTTTTTGTAACACAAGCCACAGTGAAGGAGGCACTGGACATTCTACGAGGCGCCGTTATGATCGTTTATCCCATGGACCTACCCCCACACGAAAATGTGAGGCTGGAACTAGAAAACAATGAAGATCTGACTGGTACTCAGGTAGGTTAACACTGAGATTGGATCAGTAATGTTAAACATTGATATGGTCAAAGCCAGGAAAAGTGTTGTACTGAGCCTTTCCTAAATAAGAAATTCCAGTCACAGTCTCAATACATCTCATATCAACTCCTGTTAAATTTGAGTGCAGAAGTTTGTAAATTACTCTTTGAGAAAGCAGCTAATTTTGTAGTATGTTTACATATTACATCCCATGTTACAATGTTATAGCTATAACTTTATTGTTCCTCACAACTTTTTGTAGGCTTCCAATGAAGTTTTAGAGGAAGAAAATACCTCAGTATGGTTTTCAGGAAAAGAAATGTTAAGAGGGAAACAATTGAAAGATTTCATTGGTAAAAATGAGAAGACGAAAATTGTTGCCAAAATTCAAAAGGTATGTGTATAGAAAACTTCTTAAAAAATAAAAAAGCTTAAAATGAAAAGCCAGGGTAGGATGATTTTTTCTTTGTTATAAGCATTATAATTCATAAGGTTTGAATTATATTAAAAATCACAGGAAATGATAATCTGTTTCCTATAGGCATGTTTTGCTGTATTTCTCTGTGATCTTTGTAGAGAGGACTAGGGGCACCAGGGAGGGAACTCTTCATTAAGACACATTCACTATAAGCATGCTTTACTTTGTGATCTTTGTAGAGAGGTTTAGGGGCACCAGGGAGGGAACTGCTCATTAAGACACATTCACTATAAGCATGTTTTACTGTATTTCTCTGTGATCTTTGTAGAGAGGTCTTTTGGCACCAGGGAGGGAACTGCTCATTAAGACATATTCACTATAAGCATGTTTTACTGTGTTTTCTTGTGATCTTTATAGAGAGGTCTTGGGGCACCAGGGAGGGAACTGCTCATTAAGACATATTCATTATAAGCATGTTTTACTTTGTGATCTTTGAAGAGAGGTTTAGGGGCACCAGGGAGGGAACCAGTTGTGACAGAAGATGAACAGAAGAAGATGATGGCTTATTACTATAAGAAGCAGGAAGAGTTCAAGGTAAATAAGAAATTATTTATTGAGATTTTTTTAGCTCACCTTTGACAAAAGCCAATTTTGTACATTCTCTTCAGAACCACTGCACCAATTTTAACCAAACTTTAAAATCTTTTCTCAAGAACAGCAAAGCCATGATTAATAATTTAAATACGTAAGCATCCATTGACAATGTAAATTCAAAATTGTTCAAATCACGACCCTGAGGGGTATGGAGTATGACTACATAGGAATATGTGTATAGAAAAAATCTTTCTAAAAAATAGAAAAGTCCTGATTGGTTATATTTAAAAGGAAGCATCCTTAGGTAGAGCAGATTCAAGTTTGTTCCAATTATGCATTTATATTTGTTTGGAATGTCATAAAATCAGTATGCTTATAAAGACAGAACATCATTTATAATTTTTTTTTTCAGAAACTGGAGGCGGAGTCTGAGGATGCTTACCTAGATTCCCCGTGGGCAGACTCCAATCAGCTGAAGCGTCAATTTCACGGAATGAACAACATCAAGTGGGGGCCGCGGTAACCCCAGACTTATACATAGAGACAGCTTAATATTACAATCCTGATATTAATAACAAAGTGTCCGTCCCAGCATTCAATGAACATTTTCAGACAGATCCATTGAGTGAAGACACAGAGTGTTCGTTATTCTATTTGACTTCATTGGAATCATACAAAGAAATATTCACTATTCGAACAGATGCTTAATAACTTATGTACGTAAAAATGGTCTCACTCTTGTAGGACCGAGAACTAAAAGTTTGGAAAATATCATCATATGACTATGCATTTTTAGAATTCATTTTTTATTTAGTTTTCTTTATCATTAAGAGATATTTTGTACTTTTTCTGTTTCACTGATATTTACAGACAAACAATAATGTGTAATGCATAAAAAATGAAATATGAATTAAATATTTTTAATGCTTATGACAGCTTTTTGTCCCCCGCTTGAAAAGTGGGGGATATTAATTTGGGTTTGTCCGTCCGTCCGTCCGTCCGTCCGTCCGTCTGTCCGTCCGTCCGTCCGTCCTTCTTTCTGTCTGTCTGTAATTATATCTCGAGAACCCTTTGAGCTTTTGCAATGAAATTTAGCATAGCAACTCCCTATGGACTAAAGAAGACCCCTATTGATTTTGAGGTCAAAAGGTCAAAGGTCAAGGTCATAAATAAGCAAATTCTCTCTGTTAAAACACTTTCGTTTCCACACGATATCTCTAGAACCATTTGAGCTATTGCTATGAAATTTTATATAACAACTCCCTGTGGCCTAATAAAGACCCCTATTGATTTTGAGGTCAAAAGGTCAAAGTTCAAGGTCGTAAATTTATACATTCTGTCTGTATGTATCCGGGCGATATTTCAAGAAGATTTTGAGCTTATGCAATGTAATTTATATCAAAAAACGTCTCTCGCCCCTCTCAAAGTGCCCCGCCCCGTTTGTTTTATTGTATTTATAGTATTAATTACATGTCGCTATTTTTAGCGCAGGGGCATGAGGAGAGTTATTGCGTATAAAACATCGGCGGACTTTATGTTCTTATTTTTATTAGAACTGTTTAATAAAGGCTAAATAAATCAAACACCATGGATTGTGTTGAGAATACCGAACATGAAAACATGAATATATACATGTATGTGACTTCACTTCCGCATATACTTCACACCAGATAAAGCGATTCCGTGGTCCAGTGGTTATGTCTCTCGCTTCAGATGTGAGAGGTCCCGGGATCGAATCTGGGAAGAACCCCCCCCTTTTTTTTTTTTTATTTTTTTTTCAAAAACTAAATGATAGTATTCAGCATGAAATGAAAAATTTATGAGGTTATAAAATCATCATTACAGTGTTATAAAAATTCCATATAAAAAAATCTTCTATGCACATAATGAAGAAGAAGCATCTTTATATGCATATTGACATACATGTATTTTATTTGCTTCAGTATACATGCAAATTCAGTATGACACGAATTCTCTGAATTAGCTTGTTTTATACTGAGCTAAAAATCAACATTAACAATATCATCACTTGCATCTTTACAGGAAAAAAAGATGAAATTGTGCAATTTTAAAAAATTGATACCATTTATGAAGGCATTATTATGGGAAATACCTACTATATATGTACTCAAAAAAGTGGGTTATATATTTTAATGGCTTTGGTATGGAAAAAGAAGCACTAGTTCATGAATATTTCCATTTCTAATTTTTTTCTCTGTGACATCTCTTTGAAAGTTAGGGGTAGTTTATTTCTTGATAATTCTGCCGGAATGTAAATTAGGCAGGTCGATAGGTCGGGAGCTAAGGAGGCCTAATACGTATGCAATTCTCGTGCGCATCTGTCTCTGTGTCTGATGCTAAGGAGGCCAAATATGCATGTAAATCTTGTGCGGCTGCCTTTGTGTTTGACGTTGGTTGGCGAGGACTATTGAAATTGGCATGGAAGTCATCATGTGATTTAAATCTATTTGTCTACATTTTTAAAGTCTAAATCTACAATTTTATTTCACAATGAAATGGAAATATAAGGAATCAGTGTCTAGTTAGGAGGGTATGTCAGGGACATCAACAATAGTGGGAAACGTGGGATAATTTAAGCATAACGGGCTTCGCCCGTTATGCAAATTATCCCATGTTTCCCACTATTGTTGATGCCCTGACATACCCTCCTAACTAGACACTGATTCCTTAAATATTGTAATACAATATATATATAAATTTATGAATAATTATGCCATTACAACTCAATACCCAGAGATTGCGTTAAATTTTGAATATGCCAATTTATACATGTACATGTACAGTATTAATATAACTTAGCTGTTTTGATTGACATTCTATATAAAAAAAAAATGGGTGATTTTGAAACATTTATCAGGTTACACAGAAGAAAGCTAACATAGATGAAAGGTAGACAACTCTCCCTTGTTTACATTTCCAAGTTTCCAGAAGGTGGTGGAGATAATTTAGAGCTTTAATCAAAAGGAGATCAAACTTCTCATACGCTTTTACAGTTAAATAAAAACAAAACACTAAAATTAATATATATTTTTATTGGTCAGTTTTACAATACAGAAGTACACATTTTGTCTACTATCTGACATACTCCTTTACTCTCTCACACAATAATTTACAATGACCTCAATTCTTCCATTCCTTGCCAAGACAAAAATTGGCTAATAATCCACATTTTTACAGAGTAACCAATTTTAACCAATTGTTAAAAATTTTTAAATTCAAGACACCAAGCTTAGTTTTAACAGTAAATTTTAATTAACAATAATATTAAAATCACCATATTTTTTGAAAACATCCCTTGAAAATTACACCTATTAACCCTGAAAGGTTGTATTTGAATATCAGGATGACAAGTTGCCATGGTCTGAATTTATTCTGTACAGCAGGGGCTGAGTTTGATAAATATTTGAGAACTTGTAGTGATATTAGAGCACAAAACATTGAAAAATGTTACTTTAAATTGCCATTTCTCTGAAATGAACTGTTCCTTGTATGTGTCTAGGACTAGCTGTTGTAAATTTTAAACAGTTTTGGGAGAACTTTCAATTTTATTTTCAATTCAAATGCTGTAAATATTGTGGAAATTTAACATGTGACCATGTAAGTTATAAAGGAAGCATTAATGATTTAAACCATATCTTATTGTTATTCCTATTAATCACAGTAAAAAAAAGGAATGCATTTATTCATTAATAAAATATTAGCCAGAAAGATTGCAAAATTTTTAACTCGAATAAAAATAACCTGTAAAATTCAAATTGGACACTGCAAGTGCTAAAAGTTGTTTTTTAAAATGTGATAATGTGCTTAAAGTTGCTGCCAAGAAAACTAGGTCATGTGACATACAAGGTGTGATAGTCATGTGACATACATGTGATTATCATAAAAATGAATGACATGATACCCGTGGATCCGTAGAACACAGAAAGTTGTAGTTAAACGAAAGGAAGATACAAAATGATTAAGTTAAAGCTTCATTACTTGAGTAGATATGGTTTGCCATTTAGTGTTGCCATTGAAGGGAATTAATCTAGCATATGTAGGTCAAGGTTGTTATACTTGGGAGCCCAATGCATCAATATTTGCACTTATCACACAAAGAAAGTAAGGATGGAATTAAATAAATTACAATCCAAATCATTTTCTGAAGCTCAGTTTAGCATAACATTTGAATTGAAATCCTACAGATTATTATTATTTTATGAAAAATATAATTAAAAAAATATTAATAATTTGAAATAAATGCATGTAGACATGGGATGTTGAAGTTTAACCTTGAGTGTTGATTGAAATGTAAATAAATGCCATGAATTATGAAAAGCTGTGTGTGACAGTCTGAGTGAATGAAAATCTACCCAAACATCCAGCACTAAGTATGTGTTTCCCATTCAACAGTATTGTATTTATACTGTAATGATGATATTGGTGATTTAAATGAAATTGGATTAAAAATACAAAAATGCAGAATATTTGGCAATAAAAGTATGATTAAAAATGCTCTGAATATAAAACAAAATATATGTACTAAACTTATTAAAAATGTGATTACAAAACAGAAAAAAGAATGGTTATTGCAACTGGCAGGTTATAAATTATATATAATATACAATGTATGTACACAGTACATAGCTAATCTGACCATGTATTTACAGAAATTAAAGCTCACCCCTTAATCTTCATAATGACTAGAAATCAATCAAGATCTACGTCAAATTCATTTCTTGCACAACAGAGAACTTCTAATGGTACAAAGAAATTTAGATAAAGTCTTTGCAGTAATCTTATCATATTTATTGTGTAGTTAACTGGTCACTTCAGTATCACAGCATATTATTCAGATCTGAAAGGAGATTCATTTGTGTCATGAAGACATATTCTTTTTTTCATGAAATAATCAAACTAGAGCTTCTATGTCATTTAGAATCTTTGTGTCAATAAAATTATGGTTTTGTTTAGCTACACAAATATTTATTCCAAAATATTTTTTCTTTCAAATTAAAAAAAAAGGGTTTTCCAAGCGAAAATTTTGCCCTAGCTGTCATTAATTTGTAAAAATCTCACTTCTTGCCCTATATGAGTGTGGGAAAGGTGTGGAAAAGAAAGTGTTTGCCCTAGTCTTATATCAAAAAGTAACCAGATGAAATCTATTTGTAAAATGAATTAAAAAAAAAATAAAGATGTGTGATATGCATGACTTACATAACAATTAAGTCTAAAAATATATGATTGTATATCTCACCTATAATTCATATGCATTTATTATAACATCATTTGGTGTTTAAATTAGCACTAATAATAAATCTTGAAATTTAACATTTTTTCAAACTCTCCTTTTTTTATGATTTAATCATGTCATATTATCTAATTAAAAAGGACCAAAATAAATTTGTAACTTAACTGATGTACATGACTGTATTTTCTGTTTAAAACCACGTGTTTTATATATGACAAGTTGTTACATTTTATCCATGCTCCAAGTTATAGTAACAGTGGAGTCTCTTTAATTGGGACACTCTAAATCTGGACATTTTGCTCTGGAACACAAGCATCCAGACAAATGGAGCCAGACTGTATCTCAAGATCAACAAGGAATCAGTTAATACAAAAAAAATATCAACAGAGTAAAAAATTCAGCAGCTAAATCATACAAATTAAAACAACATATAGCACCTTGTAATAGTAACAACTTTTAAAAATTGAATTCTAAAAAAAAAAGAAACCTATTGCGTATCAAAACATTGTCATCCATAATAATGATTTAACGTTCTGTCTCCGTTGTCAATTAAACTCGCTCGAGCTATTGTCCTCCTTGGCTCGAATCTCACCACTTCAATTCTGTCCATCGAGTCGTGTCTCGGAAGCATGGGAGTCTCTACATTGCTCTCCAGAGGCGGGGGTTGCGTGCTACTGTGAGCTGGGTCCGTCACGTCGAGAGTAGCCCGCCTCTTTTGTTTATTTATTATCACAAGATTAATCACTATCACGAGTAAGAATATAATGATTCCAACACAGAGCCCTAATATCAGGTACAGCAAGGCTTTCTCTCTGTTTTCTGAAAAAAACAGCAAATTGCAATTCAAATACACATAAAAGTATACTCTTGATTTGAGCTTGGCTTTTATAATACTTAAAGAAATAAATACAACAACTTGTAATTATCTTTCATCAAGTATCTTTTATACTGCTTTTGAAAACCATGAAAAACATTTTTACTGTTTGAATTTTGAATTAAAAAAAAATGCATAATATAAAATATATTTTTTTAGCAATTGCCGAAAGCTTACTTTCAAAGAAGTTAAATGTGTTCAGCCAATCAACAACCAGGCCTGTTGCTGAGCCCTTCCTGCTGGTAGATGGCGCCACAGGTTCTGGTGGTGCCAGAGTATAGTTTACACAGTGTGTGGTGTCGTTTCCTTCCATCTTGGAGTCTTGATTCCCATTACTGTTATCAGTATCCTTATTTCTCTCTTGATCTAGAGACAGTAAAAATAAAACACAAAATAATTGGAAACAGTAAAATGTATGGCATATGACAGATCAATTCAATCAAACATTAATACTCTCTCTGTTAAATCAGTCCATGCTATCATAAATACTTAATTCATTTCAGATATGAACTGATATTAAGGAAGTACAAACTTTTTAAACTTGCACACAAGGAAGTTGATAAAATTCCTATCAAAATTCAGACAGCACAAGGTGTACCTGTACACAATCAAAATCCAGACAGCATTAGGTGTGTACATGTACACAATATGCGTCTTGGTTGTCACACCTGCTGCCCTTAAGTATTGACAGAATATGTAGTATATCAGGTAGTACAATATCTGATATACAGATTTCTCTTGTGATAAAGCTGGATCAATAAATGTAATGTTAAATGTATTATCTTTTACATAGTATCTAAGTTATCTCCTTGATTTAATTACATACATCTTAAATGTTGCACATCAGCTTTTATTAAAATTTTAAATAATTAATCATACATTTGGGAAAGTATGGGCAATGCTCTTTCAGTCTCAAAGTAAGTGCAGCAGTGAGCCTGAGGAAAAAAAGTTTTTTAAGGTAAAAAGTCCATTGGTCAAACTGTTAGATATTGATAATGCTGCAGACACTGTAACAATAAACTATTATGGTGGGTCAGAAATGTGGTCTCAGAATGAAAGTAAGTTGTTGAGTCAAAATTCAAGCTAAATTGAGATTATCTTAAGATTCAGATAAAAAAGGTGACAGAGGACATTCTGTGACATTCCTTCTTGTCTCACTTCTGATATTTATGATTTGAAAAAACACAGTTCACACATTATAGATACAACTAAAGCATTTTAGAGATCAATTATAACTAAGTATGTCTCACTGTACTTAAAAATAGATGTTGGTCATAAATAATTGTTTCACTGTACTTGAGATTGAAGGTCCATCATAACTATGACTCACTGTACCTAGTAATGAAGGTCCATCAAAACTATGTCTTACTGTACTTATTAATGAAGGTCCATCATAACTATGTCTCACTGTACTTAGTAATGAAGGTCCATCATAACTATGTCTCACTGTACTTAGTAATGAAGGTCCATCATAATTATGTCTCACTGTACTTAATAATGAACGTCCATCATAATTATGTCTCACTGTACTTAATAATGAAGGTCCATCATAATTATGTCTCACTGTACTTAGTAATGAAGGTCCATCATAATTATGTCTCACTGTACTTAGTAATGAAGGTCCATCATAATTATGTCTCACTGTACTTAGTAATGAAGGTCCATCATAACTATGTTTCACTGTACTTAGTAATGGAGGTCCATTATAAATATGTTTCACTGTACTTAGTAATGGAGGTCTATTATAACTATGTTTCACTGTACTTAGTATTAAAGGTCCATCATAACTTTGTTTCACTGTACTTAGTATTAAAGGTCCATTATAACTATGTAACTGTACTTAGTAATGAAGGTCCATCATAACTTTGTTTCACTATTCATAGCAATGGAGGACAAAAACCCCTGAGCTTCAGGAGACTTTAACCCCCTGGGCTCACAATGAGGGCTTTGCCCCACAAGACCCCTTGTCTAAACATATATATCTCTGGGATACATTTTAGAGTCTGGTTTTATTGTGGTGAGCTTTGGAATGGTTATTATATCTGTGTTATTCAGGCTAGCTGTTGATATTACCTTTTGGATACATGTTAGGGTCTGGTTTAGATGTGGTGACTTTTGGAATGTTTATATCTGTGTTATTCATGCTAGCTGCTGTGGTTCGCTCTTTTTTCCTGCGGTTCTTTCTGTGCCTGATGTTGTGTTTCAGTATCTTTTTGGGGACTGCAAAAACAATGCAACAGCATGTTGATAAAAAGTCTATAGATATAGTAATTAGGAATTATCAAATATGAGGTACATAATTAAAAGATTATAAACAGATTCTAACAAGAAGTAATATGAAAAATGTCTTCCATATACATGTAATTACTTTATAACCATTATTTTGGGAAACTCAATTTCAAGAAAACAGTTAGATTGTCTCCCTTCATCAGAGTACTGTAAACTTTAATATTTACTTACATTGTAAATAACATGAATTAGTGGCACACATACTGGGGTATGCAACATATTCCACATTATGAAGTATAATTTTACTTTTTGGTAATTAATACATTGTATTCAGATCTGACTGTAGATTTTTGTATTTATTTTCTGGGCTGAAATAGATTTGAGAGCATAAACATATTATCAGACTAAACTTTTCCATCATATGATATTGACTTGTACTCCATTTAAAATGTTAAAACATATTCATCATAGCTTCATGCATGCAATGGCTGTAATTTATCAGGTAGGGTGACTCCACAAGTCACACAGCAATCAGTTTTATTCTTGATCAGTTTACAAAACGGCAACTTTAATGAACCTTAAACCAATACAACATTCCTAGTATTATATAATCCTGTGTTAAATTTTCCTTCCACCCCCAGTAAATCATACACTTCCATGCAATGTTTGCCTTTCTCCTACACCCACCTGTTAACTAAGGAGAGATTCCTTACCATTCTATAGATATGCAGTGCTTTCTGCACGATCTATATTTGTTTTAGTTTGATTAAGTTGTAGGGTATTCTAGAATGCTTTTAAACTAACTCCTACTTGTGATATCTCCAAACTTGTGTTACATCATAATACTATACAAACATAAATCACAATCAATTCAAATATATAAGCCCTCTTAGAAAGATATTGACACCTTTGAAGAAGAAGATTAATATGAATTGTGTCTCAAAAAAAATTCATAAGATTCTGAATCCATTTAGAAGTAAATATCTGAAGGAATTCTGTAGCACTAGTAACGAAGTTGTATTCAAAACACATTCAAACATTCTTCATTTGTCATGCATTTTTCAAAGATACAATGTTAAGAGCTCAAGAAATTATTTTCTTTCATTTGTGAATCAAAGGCACTTTTAATAGGACTTCCAATGGAATTTTCCCATTAAGGGGTTGCTTGAGTTAAACACCATGATCCATTAATGCTTTTTAATTCTGATACAATTTGCCTGTGTAGAAGTGTTATTTTTCCATTTCAGCTGCTGCATGACTGCAAATACATTTCATTCATGAAATCTAATGCTTCACTGCATATTTATAGCTGGGGTAAATTTGGACTGTTTACTTAAATCTTAAAATGTTTGGGGTCAAATTTTTGTGACATTGTTGTATACATTAAGAATCGTTTTACATCTTCATCTTGATAAGATATGGTTATTTATGCTGCCACAAATTTAATTACTTCAAAACTTAATTAAATTTAGAAATCTACTGGTAAAATATACTGGTATATCATCGGACTACCAGCAAAATTACAACGAAGCCAAAGAATTTGTGAAGGGAAACATTGAATAAATTATCTATCTATAAATATTGCTGAAAGTTGCAATAATGATAAATTTACAAGGCCACACAAACCACTAATGAAAGTGATAAATTACAAGTTGTTTTGCCAAAAAATAACCATTTAGAGCAGGCAGATATGGACATTTCCTAGCTGAAAAAAAAGTATGAAGAACAATGAATAGGGAAGCTCATAGAGAAACCTTAAAGGTTTTCAGCAAATGTTGCCCGCGTGTTGCAGTGGTGAGCGTCTGCTCTACAGTCACAGAGAAAGGAGTTGATCCTTATGTCGCGGGTTTGAATCCCACTGTGGGACGTGGAGACCGGTCCTTCGGATGAGACGCCACGGTATAAACCGAGGTCCCGTGTTGCAGTAGGTGCTGGCACAAAAAAGATCCCTCACTGCTCAACTGCCCTGAGTGCTGAGCATTAGGTCAAAATTTGCAGCTGACTCCAGCATGTGGTGGCGTCTCCATATTTTGAGTGAAAAATTCTTGAGAGGGATGTTAAACAATAAAAAAAAACTTCAACAAATTCTTTGCATTTGAGATAATAAAATTTGAGATATCAATGTCCAGTCTTCGTCATTTGCAAAACAGGAAACTGGGGTGAAATGACAGTTTTTTTTATAGACTTGGCCTATTTCTATGATCGTACTAAAGTCTATCCGTAAAATTCCATTTAGTGGAAAGAGGAACAGTTTCATACCTTATTACTACGATTATGTTATACATGTATATCACACCAGTTTATGATCATTTTAACAACTTAGCATGCCAACACTATCCAGTGAGACATTTTATAATTGACATAATCCACAACATCAAGATTTAAATTGTGTAAAATTCTTCCTTTACCCAAAGGTCAATTGAAAGAGGGACCCCCTTTTTCTCAGAATTTCAATAAAACTACATACACCATGCCACTAAAACCATAGTTTGGGAGTAATATTTCAGTCATAAAAAATGTTATTCGACTCACTGAATTCTTTTATTGTTAATAAAATATTCAGAACTTTGAAGCAATAAAAATTTAAAACCAAATAACCCCAAACTTGGTTATTAAAATGATTTTGAGGTATTTCGGAGTTTTTGAGGTCCTCTAAGGGACTTGACACTTACAACAGGTATAAATGACTTTGAGGTATTTTGGAATTTCTGGGGGAGGGGGGGGGGGACTTAACACTTACCACATGTGTAAATGACTTTGAGGTATTTAGGAATTTCTGGGGGGCAGGGATTGCCGAACACATACTCCTCTACGTCCATGGCACAGCGATTGCGACCATGACACTTCTTCATGACTTTCTCCACAGCAGTACTGGACCGGCAGTCTAAAAATCATTAATAATTACATTGAAATCTAACATCAGTTTATAAAATATTCCATGAGCATTTAAGTCTTTTTTAAAGACTTTACAAAACTTTGAACAGTTTCAAGTATAAATCTTTGTAAATGTACAAATGGCAGACACCAGTATCAAGGAGACTTATTAGTAAATGGGTGAGTTACTGTTTTATTGTATGGTTCTTCACTTTTTTAAACACTAAGAAAATTATGATATAATGGTACAAAACATAGAGTAGACCTGTAGAAATAGCATTTAATATTTGTTAACTCTTCACAACTTACAGAATTCCTATGCAACATGCACTGAATCCTCGCGTCATAGAAATATTACTTTACCATTTCCCCGCAAGCCCTTTATAGCGGGGTACAAATTTTTTTAAAGTTTAGCGTAAATAATATTCTGAAATAATATTTTAATCAGAAAATAACTTTTCTTATTTTATGAGGATCAAGCAAGTATAAAATAGTTGGAATTCGGCTATAAATTGAAGATTAAATGAACTTTTTAAAGTGCGTGAAAATGCGTGATTTTGGGGAAACTTTGCGTGATTTTGCGTTAGAAATAGGAAATGGTATATGCGTTAAAATGCGTGACTGCAGGGAAGGGTGTTAAATACAAGAATTACTATGTGGAAAATTTCTGGATTATTTGTTTAATTAAATTATTTTTGACTTTTGAATTTGGTCAACATGTGACCATAAGAACCTGGTCATATATTGGTTAACCTTAGTCAGTTTGGCCTTGGTCAATCAACACCTGAACAGGTCCAAATAGTCACAAAAAGAGACCTCATTAAAAGTCAATAATTTTATAATGAATTGCATTCGTTTTACAAGTAGTCCTAGCACCAGACAGTACATGCTGTGATGTTACCCGGCTTTATAAGTGTTCCGTACCTGCTGGGATATTACCAGAACACAGGGAAGTGTCCTGTGGCATTCTTCCATATATGGCATCGCTGATGACAATTTTCAGCGGCTTTTGGCACCTTATGATCATCTGCTTCCCATCACAGACCGTCATATTAGAAAAGTCGCCTGCAACGGAAGAGAGAGTCATTTAGAGCCCTCAATCAGGAAAGATTTACTACAAGAACTTATGACCGTCTTATAAAGATTGGACTGGTGATACACATTGAGAGTCTAGACCTTCGGTGAATTATCACTCCATACACTGGAGACGTGATTTGGTCTGCTAGAGGGATAATGAGATTTTTAATGTTTTTCTTTAATTCCTCTTTTTTTTTTGGTCATCCATGACAATACATGTACAAGCAAAAAAAATTTTCCTCTCCCCCTTCCTTGTAGAACTTAAAGAGAGAACTAAATTACTTTTATATGTGAAATATCCCTTTACATTGTTATCTGATTTGTACCAGGGCAAGGAAGGAGCATATGACATTTGTAAAAATATGCTAACAATGATGTTTTATGCCCAAAAATCAGAGATATAGCTTAGTTATCTTGACATGAACAAAGTTTCATGCATGTACATGTATATACGTTTATAACGGACATACCATTAATTAAGGTGCTTACAGCAATTGTATTTTAATTCCAATGTTTAGCAATTTGTTAACAGAAAGAGATTCCATAGGGCACTAAACTTTTAAACAAATTCCTTCTTAAATAACCCCCTTGGAGGATAACTAAGTAGTAATTATCTGGTTAATTAATTCTATAAGATAACAAGAGAGAGGGGAAGAATAACGCTGCCAGCCTCCCTATAGTCCGTGGGTTTCTATCATAGCATGCCCCCATTATCTAACTACAACTCACACTGACAGATTACAAAGTACAGGCCCCTCAAAAGATACCCTAACAATTCATGTACATGTAGATGTGCATTTTACTTTTTACAATATTGGTTTGGTGCAGATCACACTTATGAATGAAGAAGTTGGCAATGAGTTCCATAAACATATCCAAGACGCAGATTGAGGACGAATTAATCTTTATTTTTTATTATTTTAAATCTGAGTCTGATGACAAACCATTTCAAGGAAATGCTTTATCTTGAACATGAATGCATGTGTAAACAAGATAAACTTCATTAATCAGTGGTTTTCCCCCAAATTTCAAACCTTTTAGATCATCCATAAATATATAGGCTGTTATGATAATGTTACAAAATATCATTTACTGAGAGCTTCAGATTCAGATTCCTGGTTTACATCGATCTTATAGATGATTCAGTGAAATGTACCAGTTATAGGTGTGTTTTTAAGTTTGTTTTGACTTCTGATTACATTGGAGGAAGATCTATGTCTGGTAAATATGCCGATAAACTATCTTTTTCAACTCTCATGTTCAGAATTTTTGTACAACGGCATGCAGTAATTGAACATCACATTTTCAGAAATTCACTTAAAATAGTTTTGATCCAAAATCTCTCTCAAAATGTTTTTCCTTAATTAATATAAAAAATAAAACTCTATTTGTGAAATTGACTTCCAATTCTCCACTTTTTCAAGGTTACAGATACTGATCTACACTAATGTCCAAATTACAAATTAAAAACGGAAAAGTATACAAGTCTAAGGTCATACAGTGTAAGGAAGATTCATTTCTCTTTCTACATTAATCTGGTAATGCCTTCTCTCTTCCCAGACAACCGATCTTAAGGATGAGTTTTACATCTGCAGCAGTGTTAACAGTTACTTGGAGGAGAAGATCTTGTATTAAAATGTACTGCCAAATGCACTGGAAGGAACCCATTGTAATGCAATACGGATTGCATTAAACTCTTAAAAATACATTTCATTCCCAATTTTTGTATCTTTAATGCTTACAATTTTGTCAGATATATTCTCCTCCCTGTTTTATGACAACACCTCTGTTCATTTCAGGAAAATTTAATAGGAGCTAGCATTCTGTACAAAGTTCAGTACTTAGCATAAGTTCAGTACATATACCAGTACATGTACTTAGTTTGAGCTGTTGGAGGTCTTAGCTTGAGCAGTTGGGAGTGTTTTTAAGGTGTGTTCAGTACTTAGCTTGAGCAGTTGGAAGTACCTTTTTTTAGTGTGTTCAGTACTTAGCTTGAGCAGTTGGAAGTGCCTTTTTTTGGTGTGTTCAGTACTTAGCTTGGGCAGTTGGAAGTGCCTTTTTTTGGTGTGTTCAGTACTTAGCTTGAGCAGTTGGAAGTGCCTTTTTTTGGTGTGTTCAGTACTTAGCTTGAGCAGTTGGAAGTGCCCTTTTTTTTTTGGTGTGTACTAATAGCTTAACAGTTGAAAGTGTCTTTTTTTGGTGTGTTCAATAGTAATAGCTTGAGCAGTTGGAAGTGATTTTTTTAAAGGTGTATTCAGTACTTAGCTTGAGCAGTTGCAAGTGTTTTTAAGTGTGTTTAGTACCTAGCTTGAGCAGTTGGATGTGTCTTTTTTTAGGTGTGTTCATGCAGTACTTAGCTTGAGCTGTTGTGTTTTTTTCTAGGTTTGTTCAGTATTTACCTTGAGCAGTTGGATGTGTCTTTTTTTTAAGGTGTGTTCAGTACTTAGCTTGAGCAGTTTAAAGTGTTATTTTTTCATAGGTGTGTTCAGTATTTAGCTTAAGATGCTTTGAGATATTTGGAGTTCTAATATACTAATGGGTTACATTTGTAGGAGACTTTGAGATATTTGGAGGTCTTACTTGGATTACATTTGAGGAGACTTTGAGATATTAAGAGGCCTGACTTACTTGGGTTACATTTGTAGGAGACTTTGAGATATTTAATTCGAGGTGTGACTTTATACTTGGGTTACATTTGTAGGAGACTTTGAGATATTTGGAGGCCTGACTTTCTTCGGTTACATTTGTGGGAGACTTTGAGATATTTGGAGTTTCTTACTTACTTAGATTGCATTTGTAGGAGACTGAGATATTTGGAGGCCTTAACTTGGGTTACATTTGTAGGAGACTTTGAGATAGTTGGAGGACTGACTTATGAGGGCCATTCAAAAATTACAAGGAGTCTACTATTATTTACTCTTACAGACGTCATATATTTATGAAGTTTCACAGAAATATGTATCTTAAAGATTTTGATAAATTTTGGGCAAAATTTCTGTATTTTAAAAAGTTTCTCGTAAAATTATCACTGTGTTAATATCGCTGATGGAGAGATACAGAGCATGACAAAAAATTTGAAACAAAAGCATGCTGAAATAAAAATTTAACTCCTTAATTTTCTATAATTTGCGATATTTTTCGACAATTTTCGCAAAGGTATCTTTATGTTGTTCTTTTAATATGATATAAGATTTCTCATGTGATATTTGAAGTACTAACAGATATACAGTGATTTTTCTCCAAAGCAATTCCTTTGAAAATGGCTGTGAAAATGATGTCTCCTGAATTGACGGAGCACCACACTTTTGTTAAATTATGTGTAATGCTCAAGATATTGCCAACATAGGTTCAAAATATGCATAAAAAAACGTGTACCGGGTAGTATTAACTAGGGTATTCATGACATTTGCCTACAAATAGCAAATTAGAATTTTAGACCGTTAGACCTCTGTGAAAAGGCTTTTCAGGAGGACGGGAAGAAGACTTTATTTGGACTGAAAAGAAGGTGATTGAGAGTGACCAATCATGAATGTCACATTATATCTCATAAGTACTTGCAGTTTTTAGCTATAAAACAAAAAAAAAAGAATATGCTTAACTTGTTTTATAGAGTTTAAGCTTGACAATAAATGGTGTATGGAAGTTGAGTAAATACGGTAAATCAAACTGAACAGGAACTCTTGAGAAAATGTTGAGAAAATGAAAGCTCATATTATTTTTAGAATGCTCATGACGTCGGAAGATTTTGCTGCTCCATGACTTATAGATATGCCTTGATAAATCATCCAAAATTTATACCAATTTACAACATCTTGATATGAAATTCTCAAGACCATATAAGTAAAGATTCTTTTATATTATGTGTGACAGTTTGCCTGATTATGTCCTCAAATATTTTTTCTGTGCAACAAGTACGCGTAATTTTTGAACGGCCCTCGTACTTGGGTTACATTTGTAGGAAACTTTGAGATATTTGGAGGTGTGACTTACTTGGATAACATTTGTAGGAGACTTTGAGATATTTGGAGGTGTGACTTACTTGGATTACATTTGTAGGAGACTTTGAGATATTTGGAGGTGTGACTTACTTGGGTTACATTTGTAAGAGACTTTGAGATATTTGGAGGTCTTACTTGGGTTACATTTGTAGGAGACTTTGAGATATTTGGAGGTCTGACTTGGGTTACATTTGTAGGAGACTTTGAGATATTTAAAGGTGTGACTTACTTGGGTTACATTTGTAGGAGATTTTGAGATATTTAGAGGTTTTACTTACTTGGATTACATTTGTAGGAGACTTTGAGATATTTGGAGGTCTTACTTGGGTTACATTTGAGGAGACTTTGAGATATTTGGAGGATTGACTTGGATTACATTTGTAGGAGACTTTGAGATATTTGGAGGTTTGACTTGGGTTACATTTGAGGAGACTTTGAGATATTTGGAGGACTGACTTGGATTACATTTGTAGGAGACTTTGAGATATTTGGAGGTCATACTTGGGTTACATTTGAGGAGACTTTGAGATATTTGGAGGTCTTACTTGGATTACATTTGTAGGAGACTTTGAGATATTTGGAGGTTCTGACTTACTTGGGTTACATTTGTAAGAGACTTTGAGATATTTGGAGGTCTTACTTGGGTTACATTTGTAGGAGACTTTGAGATATTTGGAGGTCTGACTTGGGTTACATTTGTAGGAGACTTTGAGATATTTAAAGGTGTGACTTACTTGGGTTACATTTGTAGGAGATTTTGAGATATTTAGAGGTTTTACTTACTTGGATTACATTTGTAGGAGACTTTGAGATATTTGGAGGTCTTACTTGGGTTACATTTGAGGAGACTTTGAGATATTTGGAGGACTGACTTGGATTACATTTGTAGGAGACTTTGAGATATTTGGAGGTTTGACTTGGGTTACATTTGAGGAGACTTTGAGATATTTGGAGGACTGACTTGGATTACATTTGTAGGAGACTTTGAGATATTTGGAGGTCATACTTGGGTTACATTTGAGGAGACTTTGAGATATTTGGAGGATTGACTTGGATTACATTTGTAGGAGACTTTGAGATATTTGGAGGTTTGACTTGGGTTACATTTGAGGAGACTTTGAGATATTTGGAGGACTGACTTGGATTACATTTGTAGGAGACTTTGAGATATTTAAAGGTGTGACTTACTTGGGTTACATTTGTAGGAGATTTTGAGATATTTAGAGGTTTTACTTACTTGGATTACATTTGTAGGAGACTTTGAGATATTTGGAGGTTTGACTTGGGTTACATTTGTAGGAGACTTTGAGATATATATTTGGAGGTTTGACTTGGGTTACATTTGTAGGAGACTTTGAGATATTTAGAGGTTTTACTTACTTGGATTACATTTGTAGGAGACGTTGAGATATTTGGAGGCCTTACTTGGGTTACATTTGTAGGAGACTTTGAGATATTAAGAGGCCTGACTTACTTGGGTTACATTTGTAGGAGACTTTGAGATATTTGGAGGTTCTGACTTACTTGGGTTACATTTGTAGGAGACTTTGAGATATTAAGAGGCCTGACTTACTTGGGTTACATTTGTAGGAGACTTTGAGATATTTGGAGGTTCTGACTTACTTGGGTTACATTTGTAGGAGACTTTGAGATATTGAGAGGCCTGACTTACTTGGGTTACATTTGTAGGAGACTTTGAGATATTTGGAGGTTCTGACTTACTTGGGTTACATTTGTAGGAGACTTTGAGATATTAAGAGGCCTGACTTACTTGGGTTACATTTGTAGGAGACTTTGAGATATTTGGAGGTTCTGACTTACTTGGGTTACATTTGTAGGAGACTTTGAGATATTAAGAGGCCTGACTTACTTGGGTTACATTTGTAGGAGACTTTGAGATATTTGGAGGTTCTGACTTACTTGGGTTACATTTGTAGGAGACTTTGAGATATTAAGAGGCCTGACTTACTTGGGTTACATTTGTAGGAGACTTTGAGATATTTGGAGGTTCTGACTTACTTGGGTTACATTTGAGGAGACTTTAAGATATTTGGAGGACTGACTTGGATTACATTTGTAGGAGACTTTGAGATATTTGGAGGTCTTACTTGGGTTACATTTGTAGGAGACTTTGAGATATTTGGAGGTTTGACTTACTTGGATTACATTTGTAGGAGACTTTGAGATATTTGGAGGTTTTGGGACAAGGGTCCTGTCTAAATGTGTAGGTGCTGGCAGTGACTTTGCATTGTTGTCTGTTTTGGCAGCTATCAAACAAGACCTAAAATGAAATCAAAATTAGTTTACTATCATTGTGCATTGAAAATAATATATTAAGTGTTGACCTCAGAGAGTAAAATAAAGTAATGAAGATTTTAAATATCAAATGGAAATCCAATATACCTTTCTAACCAACCACTTGGATTAAAAAGAAATAGCCCTGTTATCTACCCTCACCCCCACCTCCCTTCATGGTAAATTGACAATTCATTTATGTTGTTTCAAAGATAAAGGACCTATTACATCTTCTTGTTTAGTTGTGTATATGTACAAGTAAGTATTTAATGGTAGGGTTAAACTTAAACACAACTTCATTCATAGTGTACAATTATAGATTAAAAAAAACACCTCTAGTTAGCATCATGTACATTTAAAAAAAATCTTGAGAACTAATCTATATAATCAAAATTACATATGGTGATCCAAAAACAAAACCAGATGGAATAGTGTTCAACACTGAAGTCTGAACAAAAGCTTGTGTTCTACATAATTAGCAGACTCTACTAACAAGAGCATATGGCCAATGTTTAACCCCAGTCATCCTTGGGGGGAAGGTGTTTAGAATCGTAAACAAATCCTGACCTCAAACGACCTTAACAACTCAGGCCAGTGTTGTACAGATTTTATATTTTTGTGAGTTCTTTTGTGTTTTAAATTTTAGAAGTACTCACTGCACTACATGGGGAGACAAGATCATAATGATGGTTATAGACAATTAAATCCTACTCATTATTCGATTGATTGATAGCTTAATTATTAATTAAAAGATACATATACCTTTAGGGGTAACAAATTAAATACTTTAATTCTACATTGCCCCACAGAAATTTATTATGTAAATTATGTCTTATTCTTAAATTTATGGTCAACAAATAAAAGTGTCATTTTTCTAAAAGTGAAGAAATAGTACAAAATTTTGTTAAGAATTACTAATTCATTCAGAGAAAATACTGATGCTAGATACATGAGTTTGTCACTTAGCAATAGCAAATTTGTATCAATTATGAATATATAGCATCACTAAAATACATTGTACAATAAATTTAACAATATATGTGTATTTTAAAGACACTATAAGAATAATAATGGATGATTATTTAATGAACAAGTTTTTGTAGTAAAAAAAAAATCATAAAAAAATCTCTGGCACCCTAATAAAATGTTTTAAGCATGAGAAGCTTAAATGTGTGGATTTTTGCCAAATCCCATCATCACAAAAGTACACTAAAAGAAAGCTAACATGGTTAAAACATAATTACTCATTAATTACACTTAAGTGTCTCTAAGATTATTATGCAATGAGTGAATTAAGGACACATTCAATCACTTGAATTTTGAGTACATTACAAATTGAAGACAGTCACACACTGTGTGCTAAAAAATCCATTCCCACCACCTACGATATGAATTGCAGGAGATAAAGATAAATATTGTTCCTATAAAAAGCTGTAAATCACAAATTTAATCAAAGAAAATAACAAATACAAGAAGGAGCAGGACCCCCTTGCCTTTGATAAGTAATCAAATTGCCTTTATTGTCACCATTTACCAATCACTGCAGAGGTAACAGCCTGTACACCTGAACAATATACCTTGACTTTACGACACCTGAGCACACCTGTTGTATCTGTAATAGTATATAACTGTACTCACCAGAACACATGCAATGTACACATACACAAGTACAGGAATATTCCAAATCCTCATAATGATTAGCCAGCCATGAATTCTCCCCTATTTCAATGTGGCTTCCCCCTATATTTGGAGAATAATATCCAAGGCGTCTGATGGTTCAATATACATTCAAACTTTATCACAATGGGAGTTTTTTTTAATTCACTTCAAAAGTGTTCTGACAAAAATCACAAACACACACTAGCAGAAAACCTCTTCAAATTGGGGTCACATTTAAAGGAGGTTTTGTCACTATAATCAGAGTCTAGATAAAACAAATTTCCTAAAGACTTCATCAAGTTCTACATGTTTCTTCTCCCACTGAAGAGATGATCTAACACACACGAATCATAAATCCCCTGGCTATGTAAGAAAACGAACCACTGCTGCTCAAACTGACACCTTCCACCAAGCACACCTTTTCTGAAGTCCCATAAAAAGGCAGGGGGTGTTAAAAAGAGTTTTCCATCAAATTACACAATAATAACATATTTAGAAGCTTATCTCCAGATATATCAATAAATATTGAATTAGTGTTTCTTTCAAATGGATAAGCAAATTGGCATCTGGACTTTTTATCTCAAGTCATTTCAACACAGCATGAGGGCAATCTTACTTAAGGATCTGTCAAGGAGTTGAGTGGTCGACCACTACTAATTCTTCAAAATACTTCAATGTCCACTTCTGAGATTGTCCTCTGAGAAATCAGCTCTGGAGATCAACGGGTGCTGTAGAGAATTCAGAAGTTGTATTTCAAGGTTGGAAGATGTCATGGAATATCCTCTTCCACAGAATATTGTGCTGGCAACCACTCTCTCTTGTTACAGATCGACCTCTCGCGTATGACAAAGATGATCACCATATATCAGACGTGAATATTATACATATTACTGCACCAGTTTGGCTAGTGATCTGCATCTCCAGAGATGTTTTTTCTGAGTTGATAGTAGCCTTAGACAGGGACCCTGACACTGACAAGTAATTTCCTAAGAACTCCTTGGTGTGAAGTCAGCTATCAGTATGGGAATTCCCATGGGCACTTTGTGTCACTCTATCTCCACCTCAGCACCTCTTAAACCCTTAAACTGTCTGACATCATAGACAATATTTATCCAATCACAGTCTACAAATGGTTCATTGATGGTCTTTTGCAAAATATGCCTTAAATTCTTCCACAAATTAATTATTGATCAGTTGAAACACCTTTTTAATTCAGACACGAAACTGAAATGTAATAAAAATTCTGAAGGCTGCTGGCAGAAGCTCCTCATGGAGATAAACACAAGGAATCGGTGGCAGTGGCTAGTGAAGGCATCTGATGAGGTTTAATTATTCTGATGTGCAAACATGCCTCGCGTTCTCCGCATCACTGAACTAAGACATTGATCCACATCCCTGCGTATGAGAGAATCTCTCCAAATTGATTCTGCATAGTAGTTCTTTATCATCAGATTCGAATTCCAATAGTTCCAGATTTCTGTGCTGCTGTGTGTCAATGAGTTCAAAGCCAGTTTTATATTGATTCAGAGGTGAGCAGTTAAACCATCAGCTCTCTACAATGGAGGGCAATAAAGCGGCCTAATAATCACCTTCAAAGTCACCATCAGCATAAATTGCTTCCTTTTTTTCTTCAAAAAACTTGAGCCTTAATTATTCTTGAATGGATCCAGTTTTCTTACAAACTGCCTTACATATGATTTTTTTTCCCATTCAGGTTGCAAAGTGGCACTGCCAAATTTTTCATCAATTAAGTTTGCACTTTTAGCTTAAAGGTTTTATATATAACAAAACAAGATGCATATTATCCTTCAATGAGATTGTGAAAAAACAGTGTAACACAAAGATGGTATGCAAACTTTTCTGGGTTTTCATTCAGAAAAAAAATCCAGTTGAGGACAATTTCTAAAAGATATTCTATTCAGATAAGGCTTCACCTTCACAGTCAATTTGCAAAACTTTATGAAAAAGCACACAAAAGCACATTAAGGTCTTGCTGCCTTGATGCATTAGCTGAATTCAGAACACAGATCTAAAGAATATCAGAGACTTTAATTTGACAGCAAGGTATCATTGATTTTTGGACTGAAGGCCACACAAGATTTTTAGTCTCTCCCTTGCAACCATTTATACTTCCGCAAGAGTGGTCCAAATTTGATCCTCACCAAATCAATGATTATCCAGTCCCTAATCCCTTGTTATAATAGCACCACGGATCATCTTTCCCTCTGTTGGAATGTTGTTTCATTAGAAACGGATTTTAAATTTTCTCATTAAGATGACAAAGATCGAAAGGCATACTCTAGCATGTCAATCGTCATTAAAGAGCTTCCCCAGGTATTTATCCAGTAACTAAAACCATGCACATGGAGCAGAAAAAAACTTGGCTTCAGATTTTTCAAATCAATCTTCTTTTAATCTTTTCAATCCGAAGTAAAAATGCTTTTAAGAGACTATGAATTTCTCCATGAAATAAATATACTCAAGCACTCCTCTTTTGTCAATTAAATGGGATTTAAACAAAACACAAGAAGCATTGAATGACAGTAATTTGTATTCAGAACCAGTATAAATTAGCAGGTCTCCTGTCTTTTAATCTGAAAGTCCAAAGTTCAACAGGTGAGAAGAACTTTCATTTTCCAAAATGTCTGAATATTCAAATTTATGTCCATATAAATTGATAAACAAGTGCCATGCTGACTCCTGTATTCTATTAACATCTGTGAATACAAAATCTATAGTCCAATTCTCAAACTCCCTCTTTCCCAGGCCGTTCCTCCATTCAGGAAATTCTACACCGGAAATGTTTTAGAAAGGACGGCACATTCCTGGGATGATTCCGGGGTCTTTGAAAATTTTGTTGTTCCCCTTCAACACATTAATTCACAAAGGGGTAGGGCTAACAAATCATTCTGTAAGCCTTAACACTTGACAATGGTGACCAGGTCACGGTCCCAGATAGTCTTACCATTCAGCCATATTTATTCCTTTCGTGACTTTGTTCCCTTAATCCATGAGGTATTCTGATCTCCTGAAACATTTACCTGTTCCCAGTTTGGAAAACTAAACACAGCACTCCTACATGATTAAATATGCTAATTTTTTTCTATTAAAGCTTCCCTTTTTTATTTAATGAAAAGAAAAAACAGACTTTTATTTTCTTATCAAGAGATCTGGAGGACTAAGTTGCCAATCATTTAGAAGTTTAGTATACTTGAATGTACACTGAAAAAATAATCAACAGAGATCATAAAGTGTGATAACACTATCAAATTTAAAATTGTACAAATGTTTATTGTTGATTCCAAACCTTGAATTAAAATCTTTATGTATACATACTCACCAACATTTAAATTTGAACATTTAAAAAAAATATGTGCCATCTTACAAGTGTAAAATCCAGTTGAATTTAATGATTTTAACTGATTTTAGTTGCGATTTTGTGCTATATTTATTGTTTAATTGTGTGAAACTGACACATGACATGTAAAAATTAATGACATTATCTGTATTAGAAATCAGTGTTCTTTGCAATTCTAAGTCATTTAGTTCAAAGGATTTCTGAATGTATACTTTGAGAGCTGTCAACACACAGAATGACTGTTATCGCCTTGTCAATTAAAACTTATGCTAATAGAATCGCTAAAAAGGAAAGGGAGGCGATGCAAGCTGAATGATAGATCCATGAAATTGAGAAAAACTTAACTGCTAACAATTTTCAACAAATATATCAAATATCAAAAGGAAAAGTTTGCTGAAGAAATAAGCATTAATTAATTCAGTAATTTTATTACGCAGTAAAATACATCTTGAAGCACAAGCTTTACATTTGTCTCAAAAACTGATTTTTTTGGCATTAATATCAAATTACAATTGTAATATAATATATGGACCCCATGTGTAGATAATTGTTGATGTACTGAATGAACAATATGATTGTAAGTAAAAGTTTATACTCACATAAAAATCTTGAGATCTATACAGGTATCCCAGGGTGCAAAATCAACTAACTGGACCCCACCCCCTCCCTTAAATGATAAATATATTACGCAAAATTATTATCATGTATTGTTAACGACAGATGGTTGTATGAATTAATTGGTATATATTTATAGGCGTATATTGTTTTTGTCCTGTCTGTCTGTCTCTCTGTCTGTTTGTCTGCAAACTTTAACCTTTGCCATTACTTTTGAACCATGAATGATAGAGACTTCATATTTGGTATGCCTACTCCACTAATGAAGCTCTTTCAAATGACACCAAGGTCAATGACCTTGTGACCTTGACTGTGACCTATATGCTAAAAAAAGTGGTTTTTTTGCAAACTTTAACCTTTGCCATAACTTTTGAACCATAAAAGGTAGAGACTTCATATTTGGTATTCGTACAACGCTTATTAAGCTTTTTAAAAAGACACTATGGTCCGTCTATGGTCAATGACCTTGTGACCTTGACTGTGGCCTATACGCTAAATATAGCTTTTTTGATGGCAAACTTTAACCTTCGCCATAACTTTAAAAATGACTTAATATTTGGCATGCATAACTAATGAAGCCCTTTCACATGACACCAAGGTCAATGACCTTGTGACCTTGACTGTGTCTTATATGTTAAAAATAGCATTGAACCTTCACCATAACTTTTAACCATAAAAGATACAAACTTGATATTTGGTGTTACTTCACTAATTAAGATATGACACCAAGATCAATGACCTTGTGACCTTCACTGTGACCTTTATGTAAAATGTTTTTTTTTTTAAATTTGTTATGTGATCACAAACACACTTGTTTTGAAATTGTACAGTTGTAGAAAAGTATCAAATCTTAAAAATGTTGAGAAATTTAACTTTCCATGGTAACGTGTTACAAATATCTCCCTTTTTTACCATCACCCTCATAAATCAATACAAATTTTTTTTATCACTTTATAGGACATCATTGAGAAACTTTCATGTAAGAGTTAAAATCTTTATATGAGTAAACTTATTTGAATTTTAAGGAAAATTAGAATTACTTGCTTTTTTTCATGATTTAATCTGCTGAAATTTTACAATAGATGAGTAACTAAATGTCCCTCTATAGAGGAATGTCCCCTAAATATTTCTTCACCTGCCTTGTCTTTAACTGTGTCAGTATCACCTCCTAATGTTTAGCCCACCACCACTTTATAACACTTCCACACAGGGCACAGACTGCATTAACTTTTATTTATCACCCATATACAATGGTCAAGATATGAGAGAGGTGAAATGTTCCCACACATCCCCAGATTTTACACCTTGAACCACTTTATTACCTGCCCTGAGGAAAAGTTATGGTAAATTAAGGATATATAGGGTTTATGGGTAGGGATAAGGGGAGGGGATTTCTATGACAATGCAATTTGTTTATAAATTAAGTGTACATTAATTTTATAATGTTAATTTGCTCGAATTTTAATGAACTGTAAGATTTTGAGATACTCTAAAATAAAAATAACTTTCACTCAGATTTTTCTTCCAATTTTACACACACTAGCAACTTTAACCGTTAAAGTCCTCATGTTCCCTAAATTCTTACAACGTAAAAAACATTGCATAAGATGAAGCCTTTGAGTTTGGTTTGGATTACACTGTAAAATGTTTACAGAAGATTAAAGTGCAACAAGATCCCAGCACAACAAAGGGGACATGCAACATCTCTTTGGAAATAGGCCCAGCATGTAGGATCGCTGGAAATTCTCTCTCCGATTATCTACTGTAATTATCATGTTTAAATGATGACAATCCGGGAATCATGTGAGATAGGTGATGACACA